CACTTTTAAAAAATTGTTTTTCCTGGCAATGTAGGGAAGGCTTTCACACTTTGATCTCCAGACTAAAAAATAAATGTATATACAAACAGTTAAAATCCAGATAATTTAAAAATGTCAGCTGCTATTTTTGGTATTTAGTCAGGACTTTCTAATCTAATCAAATTTTTGGGAAGAATTATGTAGTAGTTCCCAGAGGATGAATCCTGAAGACTTTAGTGATCTCCTGACCTTTCCTGTTGCATCACCATGAGTGTCACATTTGTGGTTTTGGGTAAAATGTCTCAACATCTACTGAATCCATTATCATGAAATGTGTGACATTCATGTCCTCTTCATAATGAATTCTAGTAACTTTGGCGATCCCTTAACCTTCCCCCTAGTAAATTTTAATTTGTCCAATACTTTGGTTTATGATCAAATAACTGTACTTTGTGTGGCAAATGTTAGCATTCTAACAAGCTAAACTAAGATGGTTAATATTGTAAACAGTATATCTGCTAAACATTACCATGTTAGCATTGACATTGTGACCATGCTACCATTTGCATTCAACTCAAAGCACTGCTGTGCATAAGAACAGCCCTAGTAGCCGCTAGCATGGCTGTAGACTCTTTGCCATGTTTTTTTGTTCGCAGCATATAGGCTGAACTGGAGTAGTGTTAGTTCGAATGTGTGCTTTATGTAGGCCTACTCTGATTTGGTAATAAAGTGCATGGCACATCCTTGTTGCTGTGAAGGTCCATCAGAGGCAGTGTGTTTAGGAATGCATTAGAGTTATTTTAGCTTGCAATTATAGTTTCAGAAAGATAACTTGTTTTTCCTTCATCAAATAGGGAATGTTTTTTTTGTTGTTTTTTTTTGTTATTATATCAAGTCCCCAAGTAACTGTAATTCATAGGTCTTAACACCAATATGTGCTACAGTCTGTTTACTGTCCAGGACTTCTGCTGTTTGGTACAGTAAATAATAGTCTTGTTGGGCACAGATGAGGAGGGGCCAAACCAACAATAGTGGGGCATCTCTCCCTGAGAGCAGCTAGGGACCTGAAAGAGAGGGTACAGAGACAGAGAGACAATTCAGCGGCTTATCAGATGGACAGCTTATGTATCTGAAGTTTAAAACACAAGAGATAAGGAAATCATCCTACCTCAGGCTGTGATCTTCAGCACAGTCAGCAGGGACTGGAAGGTATGTTATCTTTATCTTAAAAACAGTTTCTTTTCCTTTTATTGAAAAAATAAAATGTGTTTGTGCCATTTCCTGCCTGGATTGTCAGTTGCTAATGTCCTTGTAATACTGGTGATCTTTGAGTGAAATGTATTTTAAGCAAGGCTTGTAGTGAAAGATTTGAACACAGATTCCACAAACTGGTGGATATTACTTTAAACTCTGATAATATTAACATCTTGGCTCCCACAGGGTGGATGCTCAAGTCCTTAGCCAGAAATAGCCTAACATTTGCAGGAGGAGATAAACACTAATTGTCTTACACTTTTGCCTTTGTACTCCAGATACAGAGTTTTGGTCTGCGAGCCACACCACTTTGGCATGTAAAGAAATCCAAAGCTTAACAGACCTGCTGTGCCTCTTAATGGAAGCTATGATTGGACAACTGCTGTTTATAGAAGGGGTTTGTGGTGTATTAATTGATTTCTAAAATGAACAACAATATGTACATTAGAAAATGTTAAATTAGCTGTTGAGAACCAAACAATGATTTGAATACACACACACAGACACATACAGATATATATAGTGGTTTTCTAGTACTGACCACTCAAAGCACTACAAGAAATGCCAACATTCACACACTGATGGTGGAGGCTGCCATGCAATGCAAGGATACCACCCTGGTCATTTAGGAGGGAGGTTAAGGAGCTTTAAGGGATTCAGGTATCGTTGCTCAGGGAACCACACTCTCTCTGCAGGAGCTGGGGGATGCATAACCAGTACATCCCTCTCAACCGACTATACCTTAGACCGCAGACTCTACACGAACTGAAAATCAAAAGAAAGACCAGCCGACAAAAATTTACCTAAAAAATATACAAA